TCTCCAACATACTAAACTATTTCTATCATACACTGCAAATTTGAGACATTTGCATGAGGCCATTTTTATACATAATGATAACAAGATTAAGAACCTGAAGTTTTTTTTAAATGTATATTAGACAGGAATTATGGATGTCTCAATTTGCTATAGTAACTTAAGATAATGCGAGAATATGCCTGTTTAAAAATGCATATAGGCAAACTATAAACATATTAGTTTCACCACAAAAAACAGCACACTAAAGCCCAAACCAGTGTGTGTGGTTTGAAGTCGAGTCAACATGAGCCTTTTCTGTGCAAAGATTAAACAAAGGTTGGAATTCTCTTATGTAAAATTCTGTAAGTGCATTTAATATAAAAAAAATACAGTGACATTAGTGTTGCCACTTCATTTTAAATGCTGCTAAGGATTAATTGGGTATTAATTAGCCTTGGAGTAAAGAAGAAAAAAGAAAAAAAAAACAGGTAAAAATACTGCCAGTCTACAGAGTGACAGATGGAGAAGAGAAAAAAAAAGACCAAGACTTGCACAAATTTGTAATCTTGCAGAGCCCTAACAGCAGTAATGAGACAGAAAAAGAACATTTATGGGAAGTCCAAGTTGTAATTATCTCAGAGTTTTGGATCATGTCCCTTTGGACTCAGTGCTGGCTTTCTCCCTCCCTTCCCCCCAGTTTTCCATCATCCCTTCTTTAACTCGCCTTGTGCAACACATGCAAACACAGTTTGTGGAGTCTCACGGCCATATGAAAACATCTGTCGAGCTGTAAGACAGAGATGGTCGACACCAGATCTGTACCATTTGTGTAACATGTTAGCTGATTATGCACAGAGGCAGATGTCCTGTGTTCTGTTTGTTCTTGCTTCAAAGCATATCCCATGTGATATTAGTCTGAATGTTCTCTTCTCTCTGCATGTCATGAATAGAAGAACAAAGGATGCTTAATTAAGACACTTATGTAAACCTCTTTCGTGATCACTGAAAACAGGCTTTACACAAAAAGCATCACTGGACTATTTGTTAGAAAAAAAACAACAGCACACATCTAGTTAAAAAGGGAGTCATACAGACAAATAATGAAACCTGCTCTTAGGATAAAACCTGAGTAACACATTGGCTTTAATTCTGTGGCAGCATAGATAAACTGTTTTAAAATGAGAGATAGTAAATTTACCATGTTAAACTAAAAATGTGTAAGTTGACTGTTGCATCCTCTAGATCTGTTTAGGCTTTTTAAACTTCACATTCAGGCTTTTTAGACTTCACATTCAAGAAGAGCATTTACATTCATCCAATCACAAGTCGGAAGCCACCACACCACACTCTGTAACCAAAAGTGGTTACAGAGGCCCCATGCTGTGTGACAAAATATAGGGATTGTATGAAACCTCAGACGGGGACCAAATGACCCATGGAGATCCGAGTCAACTTAACATATGTAATTTTAAGAAAAGCCCCAAAAAAACTTTTTTTTTAGGCCGACGGGCTTGTAAAATCTCTGCCATCTGGAGGAAATACCAATCTGTAAAGATCCAGAACGACCCTTAAAGAGGTTTGTGCAGAAATTCACCAAAACGAAATCTAAGTTCCAGCAACATACACTGAGGAGAGAAAGCAACTGGTTGTACCTTGAGGGGTGCAAAGACTTGTCACTGGGAAAATGTTGTACCCTTTTAGTTGAGAAGATAAGTGTTAAAAGACTTTTCATAACCTCTAAAAGTACAAATATGTGCCTCGGGGTTCATTTATTAGACAATGAGGGTACTAAAATCGCAAAAGTACCTTAGGACACATGAATGTACTCGCTCTATTTTTGACGGTGTAAAAGCAGCCAAAGGTTTTGGATTTTTCAAAAACCCCAACCAGATTGACATGTTTGAAAGACACAAAAAGTCAAATGGTCGCATATTTACTGCACCGTGACAATTTTCAAAGCAGAGGCTGTAATTTCACTTTATGATTGTGGCTAAGAGTCTGCCAGAAGTCCCATCCACACCTTCATTAAGCCGACACCATCATCTCATTGCTTCAGACACGACACCACAAGCGTAAACATACACATCACGTCCTCAAAGGCTGCAAAGGAACACAGCACATCAGGCATCCAGGGGAAAGAACATGATGAGGCACAAATCCTGCATTTATGCTGCTGGATTTGTTTTGGCTTTTTCAACAGAAGGAGGTTTATTAAATTAACATGAAAACATAACCAAGTGACATTCTTTACATACATCCACCAAACAAAACAAAACAAAACAAACCAGAGTCAAAGTCATCAGCAACATTAATCACAACATGCAAAATAACAAAAAAGTGATGAATTATCTTATCATAGGATTTAACTAGTTCAATCGCTAGGTGTTGGATGTATTTTATAGTGCCGAGAAGATTATGCAGTTATGAATCCTGAATAGAACCGGAAGGGATGGATTGTGTAGTCCAGTTCCATTGTGGCCAACAAATCTGAGACTTGGGCTTACCTGCTCGTATGCTTGTTCCCTGCTGTCTCCATCTGATTGTTCGCCTCACCATGTGGTCCTTACAATCACTTTCAAAACTATAATTGGCTTGTTTACGCTCATCTCTCGGTTTGTTTCCTGATCGCGGCAGCCCATTGCTTAAATTCCCTTTTTCTGCACCATTTCATTTCCTTTCTCTCCGTCGTCTTGGGATTAAGGCTTGGAGACAATCAGTGTGTAAATGCAGGGACATTATATTCACAGAATTTTTTGTGCTCAAACGTGTAAGAATGGCAACGATAAGCCGTCAGTTTTTTCTTTTTACCAAAAAAGCTGCAACAAAAGTGGGAGAAAGTGTCTGGGTTTATTTATTGAAAATCAAACTGGTTCCCCACCTGCAGTGAGCACATTAGTGTCGGAGAACTGGGGCCTACTTATCCACTTTCCTGCTTTCGCTGCGTCATAGCATTAATTTTTTCTGCCGTAAAGTTGCTATGAAAAAAAAAAATTAAAATACAAAAACTTCTTCACAAAAAGAGACGGTGCCTACAGTCAGGAAAAGTGAGCTGAGCAAAGCAAGACTATTCCTCATGCTGTACCTCTCACTGGTTACAGGCTAATTTCCTACTCTCCCTTTGAAATGATTTTCTTAGGAACAGCAGCTTCTCTTTGAAACGATGGCATTTAAAAGCCTCCACTGCTCATTTCACAGAGGAGGTCCTGAATCCAAATGATGGGAGAGTCCTAACAGATGAATATTTTCCATTTTACTGTTCCCCTGCTATGCCCTCCGTTTCCCTGCTGACAATCTTACCTTCTGAAATCTCATTATTCTCCTGCGTGACATCGCTGCTTTGTCTCTTTTGGGACTGAGCCATTTCTACGCCTGATTGTTGAGCTGGAAGAAATAACACATAATGCAAAAATCTACATTAATACATGCCAAGAGATGACAGAGAGAAGAAGAAAGGAGATCACAAGAGAATGGAGACCATTGTCCTGCGTATGACTCAGTTTAAATTCATCCATACAATTCATTAGAAAGGAAGAACTGATTAAATTATTTTGTTGAAACGCAGAGGTCCAAAAACCCGACGTGGATATCAAAAGGAGTCGTTTTCAACCTAATTTCAATATCATTATTATTAATTTTTTTTTTATTAGAACATTGCTCTTTGTGCAACACAAGTTTAATAAACCTGAAATTTTCAAAACAACAAACAAGATGTTTGTTGTCCGCAACAAGTTGACCTTTCTTTATTTTGTGGGTTTAATGACACAGGGCCACCTCTTTACTTCGGTATCAAATGAATATAATGAACAAGCGGTATACAATGTTCCATTGACAAATAACACAATGTAAAAACAAACAGCAAAAAGAACCATATTGTTAGTAGTGGCTGGGTCAAAGATTTTTTTTCCCTCCTTGACATTTATGCAGGAACCACTCAGCACCTGAGGATTTGCGCTTTGAAAACACTGTTAAAAAGCTTCTTCTGTTTTTCTGAAGCACAGTACGGCAGGTAAATACCAACAGGTCTCCTAATGTCAGGGACTGGAACAAGGTAAACACTTAACCTGTTTTCTGTGTTCAAAACCTGCGGCAGGAAGCAGAAAAAAGGCTTGTTGCTGCCGCTTTGATACACGAGCTTGGCTTTATTTTTTCCACAAAATCCTTTGCCAAAAGCTAAAAGCGTTATTGATAAATGAAAGGGTGCTCGACAGCACAACTTTTTCAAAAGACCTGAAAAAAACAGGATAGTCATCATTTTGATTTTCACTTAAAGATTAAATTTTTTTCCTGGCCAAGATAAGCAGAAACTTAAGTCAGCAGTAATAAACAACTAAAATTAAATAATAAATGCAGGTTTAAGTAAACAGGGGGTAAATGAATGACTTTGCTATTACTCAAATTATTTCTAAGGAAGAAAGGAGTGAGGATAAAGGAGACCTCTGGAGCAGCTAAGGATGAGAAGCCCCACCCACATTTTCCCTCTCAACATCCCGGTTTTACAAACATTTTCCGAGGTCCCTTCCGACATGCAAAGAAACGGGAGCTGTTCCTTAAATGGTTCTGAAACATACTGATGTGCTTCCTGAGGCAGCCAGATGCTTTCATCAGAGAACCAAGGCATTTCATTCATGTTGGAATGTGGAACGGTTAACGACACAGAAAAGCTAAACCATGCCCAAAGAGGAAATAAACCAACTCCAGCCAGCTACTGTCCTGTTAAAAGTTTTTTATTATCATTAGTGCCCTCCGTAGGCATATGTTTACACCTATTTTACAAGTGGTCTATGGGAAAATTAAACCGATTTTGATCAATAATTACCAATCATCTTCAATTAGAAAATTAAAATAGGGGGAAACGTCTTAACAGACAAATCTTTTCTCCATACTCGGTGTCATTCATGCTTTTTGTTCTTTTTAAAAGTCAAACATTTTAGTCAAATTTGATCTTAAATCGGAAATCAGTCAGTTTTTTGGGCATCAAAAGCCACACAGAGGCCTTCGTTAGTTTCCTGCAGAACGAGTCATCAGAGGGTGGCTTCAAACCGGGCTCTGGTGGGTCTCTTACCTTCATGCTTGCCCTTAAGAGGTTTACTCTCCTGTGCCCCTTTGAGTGCTGTGATTTTGAAGCTGTATTCTTTAGAGGCGTCAAAGTCTTCTATGATTAGTTTTGTCTTCTGCTTTGAGAGCTGAACCACCTTCTGCTCTCCTCCTGCAAGAAAAAACACCAGTGATTAGAAAGGAGAACACGGTGCTTGTTCGAGTACAGTTGTTTATTTTTTGTAATCCTATTCAAATTTCCTGAACAGCCGGGAATACTTTGTATGTTTGTGCTTTAATCCTGTGCTAAACTTTTTTTGTCAGAGAAATCATACATTTTAAGTCAACAATATTCACAATATGTATTTTGCACCTTCAATTAAAGCAATTCCATGTAATCAAGTTCAGAAAAGTTTAAATACAACACAAGGATGAGTGATTAATCACAGATTAGTGTATTTTACTGTGCCGCTGCTATACATGGTCTATAATGGCATCCCCGTTTAAGCAACAGCCAATTCACTTAGATCACTTTTTAAAAAATCTCATTCTAATTATGTAGAATAAAAATAAGAACAGGGACTTTTCATAACCTGTGCCTGAAGTCTAACGATGTGGTATCAAAGAAATCTAAGCTGACAGCAAAGCATGCTATCTCCAAAGGAGCAATTAAAAGCCGCAGACTAAATGCAGAGCATCCTTCAGTGGGAGGCACCGTCCTTCACCCACTCAGTGTCAAGCGTTTAAGGCTCGACTTCTGTAAACGGAAATATATCACTTTGGGAAAAAAGCTTCAAAGAGAATTTAAGTCTATTCAGCGCCTAACCTGCACTTGAACTTTGCAGGCTTGAAAAAACAAACAAAAGCAAACAATAAATCAACACACATTAAGTCACAGACACTCATAAACTGGACATAACTGGATACAGACTATGGAAGAAAACTGAAACACACAGGAGGGATTTTTCACAGATATTTGCATTAATTATTTCATCCTGTATCTTCTTTACAGACTGCATTTTAAAATATATAAAAAATATCTAGAAATGCTTGAAAACTGGATTGATATAAGCACAACTGATAAAAAAATTGGCAGTTCTGAAGTCTACCAATGGTGACTTTGACAGTTGAATATCACCAACTTTACCAAAACCAGTTACAAATTCAGTTAATGACAAGCAGGTACTATGAATGAAAGGAGGCTGGTGCGAAATGCCACACCAAGTGTTCAACCAAAGTGACAACTGGCGTGTCTAATCCATGAACCCACAATGTCAGCGACTGCATTAGCTGCTCATTAGTGAGCAGAAACAGAGGCTGCTAACCACACTGGATGGGTACAGATGACCCAAAATATGTCTACTCTGTCTAAAATAACACAATCCAAACATTACTCTTAAAGGAAAAATATTTTTGCATTGACTATTTATATCCTTGTGGCTTGATTTAATTCCAGAAATACTAAATATCTTTGTTTTGTTTTTTTAAAGATGCATCAGAGTCCAATTAGCAATCAGTACAAAGATGACAAATTAACTTAAGTGAGATGAGTGAAGAAAAAAAAACACAACAAACAGCATATTAGTGGAAACACATTGGGCTTAATATATCTTACGCATTCAACATAATAAAAGCAAACTCCATCACTGTTTTTTTCCTTCATAGCCAGTACTTTGTAGACGTCGTGTTAGCATAACCATTAGTCTGAAGACCTCTTGAACCACTTGTGGCGTTTTCTGACTGATACCGGGGGAGACGTACATTCTCATTTAAAGGTATTATTGTCTGCTTCACCTTCAACTGGACAAAAACAAAACACTAGACTTTCCAGAAGTTCAAAGTCTGGTTTTATTCACAGCCATTTCACTGGAATCCACAATGAAGGAGACAACTTTAAAGTGAAATTATATTAACAGACTGATATGTGCATGTAACGACAAATAACATTTGATGGATTTATGTGTGTGAGGAAGTCCATTTGTTCAAGGACACTTCAGACAAACAAAAGGCTGCTGATGAAAATGGTGTGCTGGAGGCTGCCATTAACTCTCCCAATTAGTTAGGCATCCAGCTTTCAGACCACAATACCATGCTATCGGTAAAAGTGGAAAGTTTACACACTCACTTCATGCAACTCTGTTTCAAACCAAATATGCAAAAATGAATTCCATTTCATTTGATGGAGACATTAAATGAAATTATTGAGCTCTGTGGCATCACAAAAGGGAAGAAAAGCTTAGTTTTATTAACATCTGAGAACACCCAGATCATCCCTGCTGCAGACGGCAGAACAAAGGCTCATATGAGCAAACAGAGGAATGCATAAACCGAGACAGAGTATAAAAAAAAGAAGTTTACAGGGCTGTGACTAAAGAATAAATAAAAAGACATACAGTACATTCAGCATCTAATATAACTAAATATGCTTTGCTTTCATTGCAACAGTAAAAGTCAGCAGTTTGCAAATTGACTTAAATGTAGGGTCATGCTTTCTGGCTTTAAGAGATGATGTTAAAATCGTATTAACTGGGAAATCCTAGATCAGAAAAAAAATCTTATGAGATTAAGCCTTCAGTAAAAAATAATGATAAAAAAAAACGCAAACTACACAACAAACTCCCTGGTCTGGATCAATAAATTATCTTAAACTGTCATCGGCCACAGCACAGCTTTTGAACTATAAAATAATCTTATTGGGAAATATTTGCTTTGTCCTCACATTCTGTTCATGCAAAAGCTGATGTGTTCTGTCTAGGAGAGTCATATGGACTTCAGGAAAAGAAGGGCCCCATGAAACATTTTAGCTAAAAAAAAATGTCCCTGCTGTTTAAGGAAATTAAGGACCTCCCTGTCAACCCGCTCACACCAATACCAGCAGCAGGAAGTGTGAAGAGAATACTCAGTGTCATTCATTTCCTTCAGATACTCTTCAAACAATCTTTTAAACCTTTTTTTTTTTAAATTTCTATCAACGCTGCCCGATGGTATTACGCTGCAAACTGAGCTGCACTGGAACGGCTCAGAAATGAGGCCGTTTTGCTTCGGTTAAATTGTCAAGCTTATTCCAGAATACGGAAGACGACAAAAGGCAGCAAAGGTTTCGAGCACATATGAAGCTGCGGCGCTCATTAGAGTTCAACCAAATTGCCGACAGTGCACACTGCTGAACAAAAGAGATTGTCCCCAAACTTTGCCTGTGACTCTAAGCCTTTATGTGTTCATTTATGAACAGCAGCAGGAAAACTAAATATGCCTAGCACAGGAAAATGCCTTCAATTCACCCAAAAAAATTAAATAAGAATAAAGATTTTTCCAAAAGTTAAGTGGAGTAAAGTAAAGGAATAATAAAACTCAATCCCAATATGGGTTTTAAAAACTTTGGCAGGTCCAGATCGGTCCCTTCTTTATCTTCCCTTTATCTATATCTTGGTATTGCTCTCCCCTCATGCCTCTTAAGCTCCATCCTTCATCCTGCCCTCCAGCATCTCCTTCTTTTTATATTTCCGTAATGTCCTCCTCCCAGCAACTCTCCTGTGGTCTCTGGGGATGGCTGCCTGTGCTTACTGCACATTATCTGACATTTTCCCCATTACTATGATCAAGCAGATGGACCAGGCAACACCAGGAGCTACAGGTTCCCTCTGCTGCCGGCTGACAGCAGTTCTAATAGAGGAGGTTGACACACAACCCAATACTTCAGGCCACAGTGGCTTACCTCCAACAGTGAGGAAAATAAGAAAAGTTAAATCCTCCAAGCATATTTCTCTAGTCAAGCCAGCAGCTTTTGAACAGTCAAAAGAAAAAAAAAAGCTGAGAAAAGACATGATGTCTTTTGAAAAGTGAAAAACTTTCCTTCATTCTGAACATAAATTGGATCACTTTCACTTCAATAAATTAAAGCTGGGTGTTCTTCCTGTGTGACACACGTTGAAACTGGACGCATACAGAATATTTGTGAAACAGGTTTAGAGGGTTTGTCACCTTTAGACCTGATGTGGCATGAGCCTGTTTTCTATGGTCATTTTCAAGGCAAACATCCAACTGTTGAAAATAAAAACCCCATAAGGGAAAAGAGAGCAATTTACAACAAAAGGCTGGTGCCTTGCGGTGGGTTAGATTGAATATTTCTAGTTTCCTCAGAGGCTGAAAAATAAGGGCTTTGGTGAATACTGACAATTATGCTGACAATCGTTTGAAAAATTAATGAATAATTACAAAAAGAAAAACTGTGGCGTTAAAGAACATTCTTAAACAATGATCATATTTGAATTTTTTAACGGGTTCACAGGATCTTGATGCGCGCATATGAGCACTGAGAGTTTAAATTATTAAATTCAGACAGAAAAAAAAGGGTGAAGCTTTTAGTTGTCTGAGAAAACAGGTTTTATGAGACTTGAGATTCTACACACCTGATATTGTGTTGCATGTACTTCCTTCAACAGCTCAGGAATCAGCACTGTGGTTTCAGCTCTATCAGCTGTAAGTTTAGAAACGGTTCTATATTAAGAATAAGGTGGCATAGCCCATCCCTACACCTCCCTCATGGTATCAGAAAAAAGGGTTTGTCAGGTGGCAGCAAAACGTAGCCTTGGTGGCTTTTTAAAAAGGGGCTCCATACTGCATTGGTGCACAATTAGAGCCACAGCATGGAGGACTACATAGTTGATACGTTGTAATTTTTCTAAATGCACATTCACAGGAAGGGGTTCAGCTTTCATCTCTTACCAGAGGGTAATGGTTGATGAGAATATGAGCAAAAAAAAGAAGAAAGAAACAAAAAAAAGATCGTTTTGGAATATGAATGGAAACAGAAGATACATGAGAAATCATGCCAGCACAGGTTCATGCTCAAAGCATTTTTAAGAAAGACACTGCAACAACCACTGAAAAATCTGTATAAAATCCCTGAGAGTAAAATGCTGATGCTACTTGATCATAACTTGAGTCCCTAAATCGTTACAAACAGAAAATAACTTTTGAATATTCATCACTTATTAATGTGCAATAAGTCAAAACTATTGTGGTTTAGTCTTCTGCCAACAGTTACATCCATTTGTGGTCAAACAGGTCTCAGATAAAAAAGATTTCAGAAACCATAAATCAAATATGATACTGCTTCAGATTATCTCATCTTAAGATGAGTCTACAAAATAGTGAATAGCAGGTTGTAGCTCGTACAAAGTCAGGAGCTGTTTGTGAAAACTATTTTTTTTAAACAATTTGTCATGTTTTTCTGCTCATCATGATGGATAAAACCTCAGAAAAAAACTGATGTACCATGACATTTCTTTTTTTTAAATCAAATCTCTTTCGGTTTGAAGAGAAAGAGCATCATTCACGTGTTGCTAGAGCTGCTGTTCTAATCTCAATTGTAATACATGAGCCGGCCATTCCACAAATCAAATGTTTGAGTTAGAATCTTACATATTAGAAGAAAATGAATCGCACAAAGCCTATTACATTAGATCTTTGCAGCAGTCAACCGCAGGATTCCGCGGTAGGAGCCGGAGTAATCCTGGTATCCGTTTTTATCAGATCCTGTGTTGTTACATGTCTCTTTTACTGCAGAGTGAATTATGGACGAGCATGCAAGTGCACACCACATAAAAAAAAAAGTTGATTTGCTCTCCCTGAGGGAGAGAAGTTAAATGGCTGCACTTTTCTGTGCATAACATGGATTTTTTCCCCCCTCTTCCAGCAAAGACAAATGTTAAACTTTCCAACCGATTTGGAGTAAGAGTCCATTGTATTTGTTACTATACAGCAAATTCTTTCTGGTCGACATATAATGCTGTTGACACCAAAGAATGCAAGAAATATTTCAGCAGCAACTACTCGGTGGCCATCAAGCGAGACCCCAGACAGCCAATCCGTCACTGAAGATTCACGGCTCCAACACCGAGTGTGAACGAGGGCAGATGTGTTCACACAAGGCAGGACCATACAGGAGAAGAACGTAAATTCTTTGTCAAATCTTCCCGAGTTTATCAAGTTTAAACGAGAAACTTTTCCACACAGGGACAAAAAAAACAAAAAGAAATCCAATCATAGAATTAAGTCCTGCACTCAATATATGTGCGTTTTCTGGGGTTTTGTATCCTCACTGGGGCAAATCATATCTTTGATGGAGCATAAATGCAAAGCAGGTTCACTCATCATTTTCCTTAGAAAAAAGCCATCTGTCGATTAGTTTTTTCTTGAAAACAGAGATTGCGTGATAAAAAAAAAAGCTCCCATATGCCTACATCAGAGCTGGCTCTTACCTGGTTTGGTGGCGTAAATGACTTTGTAGCTTTCAAATTCTCCCTTTGGTTCTTTCCATGACACATCCAGCTTTTTGGGGCTTAGGACCTTTACGCGAAATCTCCGTGGTGGCGAAACTGGAGAGAGAAAAAACAAAATAATCAGCATGACACAACAGCTCCCGCTTTCAAACATGATGTCAATGTTTGCAAAGGAAACATTTAGAGAAAAACCATGTCATGCACCATCCATGTTTCCAGAATTTGTGGTTAATGATGGAGAAACCTTGGCTATCATGAATGTTAATTAGTTTATGGTGTCCATAACAATGGAGGGAGTTCAACTGTTGTATGCCAGCTTCAGAATAGGAAGAATGCACGTTTTCCATAAAGTATTTGAAAAAGGGAGAAAGAAAAAAAGGCTGGTTTCAAAGATTCTGCTCGCTTTCAGTTTTTCTTTTAATGGGGTCATTCATCTTCTGAGCAGAAACACAACTAAAAAAAAAGTTCAAATTGAACTCCTTCCAGAGTTATGGTGGCATACAGGCAGCTGGTCCATCTGTGATTCCAAATAGGGTGAAAAAGGGAGGAGAAAAAAAAAGAAAAGAGAGAGGGATACTCGGTATCTCATCCAAGTGGAGGATACACATCAGAGAGATTAGCTGGCACAGATGTCGTATTAAAGAGCCCAAAAGTCCCATTCTCCTCCTCTTCCTTGTCTTTCATTCGATTGATGAGCCTGCATTGTGTTTGTCTCTGGAGTCCGACAGGTCTCCGTCTATGTTCCACTTACCGTTTCCATCAAAGCGACACTCCAGCCCCTCTCTCTCTGAGTAGTTTCTGGTCCTGCCAGTTACCCAGGAGCCTACTCCTCACTCTTTCCTCTCTTCTCCAACTAGTACCCAGCATTATTTCCTTTCTCAAGTATATTCTCACCACCTCCATCTCCTCATCTGTCCCGTTTTGATATTTTGATCACCCCCCACCCCTCGTCTGTGATTTAAATTAGCAATTGAAAAGAAGACAAAGAAAAGGAGTGAATGTGACTTTGCATCACTTGTTTAGAGGAAAAGAACAAAGGGGACCAAAGGGAAAAGCACAAGAATAGCATATCAGTGCTATTCCTCTCCTGTCCTTGGCAGGAATATTTAGATGTACATCACAAAGTGACTCGATCCAACGAGCTGCACAATAAAAAAAAAAACACTTTACAATGACCTCCACCTGTGTCGAACCCCACAGAAAAGTCAATAACACTGTGTCAGTTGAGTGTTCATCTCCACCCATTCAACAGTCTGGTTTAATTTCATAAAGTTTCGGCACAGCGTTGTTGAATTTTCACACAGACATGGGCTAAAACACTGGAGCGAGGCTATTGTAAAAGCACCACAGTGGCAGGAACCACATTTCCAGGGTCAACAACCACCCTATCATTTCCACACCAGCAGAGCCAAATCCCACATAATTAATGTGTATCTAGATGCAACACATTCCCCAGTTTACTTTAATCAACTAGAACACAAAAAAAGGGGGGGGGGGGGGCCAGGGGGGGGGGAAATAAGATAGGAAATCCACAAACTTGTTTCTGTGTTTGTGTCTTCATTGTGAGATAAACAGTTTTCTGCTGCCAACGTCTTTAAATACCGACAGAGCGATGCCTCTTGTATGAATGGTTCACCCAAAACAACCAACTAACTATGGAAAAAGGATAATTTTGGGAGTTTTAAAAAAATTATTTAGACAAGTCAGGGTGGTGTACGTTTGGAACAAAATACACACACTGGCGTATAATGCAATATGCAAAATAGTCAAGCATTAAACTTTGAAACCAAACCAAGTGACTTGGTTTTTTTACACTGAGAAAAAAGGAGTTTTCTTGAAATTACTTGTTCCTAATCAGTGAATGAAAAGGGATCCATATATCTACTGACCCACATCACACGCCATTGGGGGTATCAAAATGCTAACACTATCCCTTTTTATGGCCAACAGTATGTTTGTCTCACTGTTCGAGCGCCTCTGTCTTAACTGGCGGAACAATTTCACCAGTTCAAGAGCTCATGGCTGAGTGTTCGGGAAAACTCCCTTGACTAGCTTTGAACTTCTTTAGCTCCAAACTTTACCATTTGCTTGGAACTTTTAATGCAGCGAGTTTTGGGAAATCGCAATGGTCCTGGTGAAACCTGCAAACTTCAACCGGCAGAGGAAAAATAAATAATTAGGTTTTGTTTTTACTGATTACCTGTCATATTCAAGCGGTTGATCCCCGTCACAGTAAATTTCTTCAGCGTTTTGAGTGAACCACCCCCTTGACCACAGAAAACAGCTCATGTAGGTATGAAAAGACATTGGAGGTCAGCACAGGAAGGATAATCCTAATCTCAACGGAGAGAATGTGAAGCCAGAGCATTCAATCAGCAGGCACATATATATTTACATACAAGACACATAAGGAATACTGTACCAATTATCACACCAACCTGGAAATGGGAATGAGGGCTGCATGGGATTTCAGCTCAGGGTTTAGCTCTCTGTCTCGGAAACAAAGGACACTCTCGTCTGAGGAGAGCTGTTCAAATCCCGAATGATTTGAGATGCGGAATTCACACCTCTGTGTTTGTAGTGTGGCTGAACGCGCACGCGTTGTGTGTTCACGTATGCATGTGTGTGCGTGAATAATGTATGCTTCTTCACAGCTTGAAGTCGGTGTGTTCAGATGTGTACACACAAAAAGAGAAAGAACAATCTGAAGCCACGCAGTGCCTTCTCCTCATGTCCCCAAAGATACCTGCCGGCTCCTTTGCAGCATCCACGCAAACACTCACACAAACGCATCCGCGCAAACACACTCTCACAAAGCCCTGGATTTTCTATGTTAGATTGCATTTCGCACACAGTGTTGAATGGCGTGCAAATCGCCCGGTGAAGACAGAGACAAGGCCCTGCCTGGGGAGATGAGAACTTAATTCTCATCTTTTTTTCATGGAGAGCCCTGTGCAAACTGCAGGGCCGAGCATCCATCACACCCAACGCGAGTTGCTCTCTGTATCAGAGGGGCGCGGTTTTCAAAGCGTTAGGGTTGGGAGGGGAGAAAGGGGGGGGGGGGGGGGGGGGGGGGGGGGCAGCACTGAGCTGAGCACAGAAAAACGGAAGGATCTCAAACAAGTGTGTTTTACGACTCTGCTACCTTTGTAATTATTGTCAAGAAAATACTTTAAAGATACTACAGAGAGCTATTCAGCTTTAATAAATCATCATTATAGAACAGTGTAATTGCTACACAGCACCCTGTAATTCTCCCTCACATCACAGGGTCAGGAGGAAAGTTGTTTCATAGTTTTACTCAGCAAAGCAGGTGGGGACACCGTCCCACCTTCCTGAACGTTGTGCATTTTTTTTTCTGTTTTCTGAGGGAGTGGGAGATAGTAAAATGAAAAGTATAATAAGTCATCATCAAGTTTTACAGCATTTTGCACTTTCCCCCCAACCCACCACCAAGTTCTGGTCATATTCACAGGAATGTTAATAACTCAAATATAACCTAATGCTGACATTTGACCACATTCCTCATAACCCACCCCTCCAGCACTGATATCTGTGATACTTCCTCCAAAACTTCTAGAGGCGAGGCAAACATGAGAGGACTTCACAAAGCCTGCGTAGAGTCGCTGAATTCACTGTTTCACCTTTTAAAATGGGACAGGTCTTGAGTCAGGGTGATTTATGATCCACTAAGTAATTACTTAACAGCCTTAACTCGTTCATTACGCCAGGAAATGGAGTACCCAACACTACCAAATAACAATAATAAAAAAGGGAGGTTTTTAACCACAGATTGGAAGTGTCATGTCTATGTTTTAGGTTCATTCTGCTGGAAAAACCTCTCACCCTGTCTGACTCCATTGAAAATAAAGAGCTGTAGAGGGGAGGGATTTCTCTGTGGACGCTCTCCAGGTCGCTCATAAGTCTTCTGCTCCTGCTGGGTCACCGCTGTCGCCGCGGCTAGGAATGCTCCAGTTGCTATCATTTAAATGGTCAAAATATAGCAAACGTCTCTCCAGCGAAAGCGTCGCTCTGTTGCCCAAGTTTACCAAGCCAATTATCTGTGTCGACAGAGTAGTTTATTGCTTTTGCAGTTGGAAATAACTGTCATTTAGAAAGTGCTTTTCTAAAGCTATTTTAGGATAATTCAATCAACATAACATAAAAACATATTTTATCTCATTCATGATTTTGATCATTTCCTAGACTGAGCACTGGGAAATTTGCAGTCATATTTAAGATCATATGAATTTATCAAAGGCATCATTAGCACATTTTTAAAACAGGGAAAACATTACTTTTGATAAACAATGGTGCTTTTATGCATCCTTTCATTTAAAATGGCAAAATAGGAAGATGCATAACGGTAGAAAAAAGACAAATATATGATAGATGTGGCTGTGCTAGGACTTGGCTTAAATACTGCAGCACCAGCAGCATTGTGGCTTTCTGACATAAACTCAAAACAGAGCACAGAAGGGCCATCGGACAGACGGTGAAACGGCCGCCACCGTTCAACGGCCTGAAAGCAGCGAGCGGTGTAGTAGTTGTCCAGGTTAGCCAATTATATCGCATGATGACCTGTTACGTCCCCAATTTGCTTTAACGGCGTGGCAAAGTACCAGAATATGCGCTCAGTGTGGTTTTGGAGCCACTCCAGCAGGTTTCGGTTTCAAACAGGCTCAGTCCTGTTTTCAATTCAGCAATGCCAGAAACTGCAGATATCCAACGCAACACTTCTCTTTGGGTGCGAAGGAAACAAAAAGAAAAAACATTGCGTCAAGGCAAAACAATCTTTTCGTTCCCCACACCATAAGTGACACCCCTTATGTAAATACCGAGTAGAGATACAAAGATGGTGAGATCCATGGGTGTGAACAGCACTAAGCATCCTGAGTCAACTGAAGACGCATTTAGATATCAATCCGTCATTAGTATTCCAGAAGTAAAAGGTTAAGAGAGTCACTATGATAACAATGGCAAGGAGTCTTATCTCACTGATCAGGTAATGAGCGGGGCTGAAAAAGTGAAATGTGTGAGAGGGTGGAAGATGTAGTAAGCATCCGGACTGACAAAAGAAAAAATTAGAGAAGCAGAATTAGAACAACACTTTTCTTTGCTTTGTTTTTTTGTTTGTTTGTATTTACTGAGGCA